GTCAATAAATCAATAGGGCTGCGGGGCAGAATACTATACACAACCTGGAACGGACTGAAACCGGTGCTTCTATTTCTAGCATGATTATACGCAAACTCTGCCTGGCTAAGCCGCTGATCCCATGAGCGTAGATTATCCCCAACCAAGCACCGCAACAAGTCACCCAAAGAATGATTAACTACCTCTGTTTGCCCATCAATTTGAGGGTGATAAGCACTACTAAAATTGAGCGACGTGTTAACTGACTTCCATAAACTCCGCCAAAAGTGACCGATGAACCTCGTGTCTCTGTCAGACACGATGGAAGTGGGCAACCCATGCAACCGATAAATCTCTCTGAAAAATAGCTGAGAAACCTTGACAGCATCAGTGGTGCGCTTGCAGGGAATGAAGTGCACCATTTTAGAAAAACGATCTACCACCACAAAGATGGAATCATTACCACGTTGTGTGCGTGGTAAACTCAGGACAAAATCCATGCTAATATCAGTCCACGGAGCTGAAGGCACTGGTAAGGGTCGATAAAGACCAGCGTTTGTGGCTTTCCCCTTTGCCACGTGGCGCACCCTGCATCGTGAGACAAATTTCTCCACTTCACGACGCATAGTAGGCCAGAAAAATGAAGTGCTAATCAAAGCCAAAGTACGATCTCGCCCAACATGACCTTCACCATGAAACTCCTCAATCAATTTCAGACGAAGGTTGCAATCTAGTATACACAACTGAACACCTCTAAACACATACCCATCCTCTAACAAAAAAGAGGAATGGGGTCCCTGTAATAAACTGTGATAGATGGGGCCAAAATAAGGGTCATCAGCATAAAGAGAGACAAAGGTCTCAAACCCGGTGACCGCTACCTGTAGCCGCGCTAATAACCCATGCCACCTACTGAGCGCATCTGTCACACGATTAGAAGAACCAGCCTGATGTTTAATGACAAAGTTGAACTGTTGCAAAAAGGCAACCCATGATGCATGACGGGCAGATACAGACTCCTGGCTTGACAAATGCTTGATCACTGTATAAGACAAATTCTCGCTGAAACAGATAATGTCGCCAATGGCGAATGGCCTGAACAACAGCATAAAGCTCTACGTCGTAAGTGATATACCTCCCACGAGCCCCTGCCAACTTCTGACTGAGATAAGCTACTGGTGTTCCTTCCTGACTGAGGACAGCTCCGATACCCGATTTAGAGGCATCACAATGTAATGCAAAAGGTTTTGTGAAATCAGGCAACGCAAGTATCGGGGCTGAAGTCAGACGCTCCTTAATGATCAAAAACGCTTTCTCAGCCTCGGGTGTCCACTGAAACTTAATCTCCTTCATGCAATCAGTAATGGGAGACATGAAGTACTGAATAAATCGTCCATAAAACGACGCTAAACCGTGGAAACTCCGCACATCAGAAACTGACTGTGGACGCGGCCACTGTCGAATCGCATCAACCTTAGCTGCATCCACCGTTACCCCACCGGCTGACACAACATACCTCAAAAACAAAACACTATCGGTATAGAACACGCACTTCTTAGTGGCTGCAAAGAACTTCTCCTTGCGTAAAACAGTAAGGACTTCCCTTAGATGCACACCATGAGACTCCTCCGACCCACTGTACACCAATATGTCATCGAAGTATACAACAACGCACTTACCAATAAACGGTCGAAGTGCTTGGTTCATCACCCGCATGAACGTGCTCGGTGCATTGGATAGTCCAAACGGCATAACTAGCCACTCAAATAATCCCTCCCGTGTCTTAAATGCTGTCTTCCACTCATCACCAGGACGGACTCTTATCTGATGGTAACGACTTTTCAAGTTCAGTTTGGTAAACACAGTTGCGTTGGCCAACTAATCAAGCAAGTCATCTAGCCTCGGTATCGGAAAGCGATAACGAACTGTTATTTTGTTGATGGCCCTGCTATCTATACACATCCGATAACTCCCATCTTTTTTTGGCACTAGGAGTGCGAAAACTACACACGGGCTGAGGCTCTCTCTGATGTACCCCTTCTGCACCAACTTGTCTACTTTTCTCCTCAACTCCTCATGTTCCACTGGGCTCATTCGATAATGTGGGCGATTAGGCAATGACGCGCCCAGTACCAAATCAATGTGATGTTGCATATCCCGTAAAGGCGGAAGACCCTGTGGAAGGTCATTCGGAAACACATCATGAAACTCAAACACCAAGGCGGCAGCTTTTGCGGTGAAGACCCGTCCCCTCGGCTGCCATAGGAACTGTCGACACTCCTGTCGCCTCAGTTTCCCCTAACAACAGTACAACACCTTCTGCCAGCATCTCACGCACAAACAAAGATCAGGAAAGTAGATTACTATTGTCCCCTGCTGGAGACAGACACTGCGTATCTTTGGAGGGTAGTAGTACAATCTTTTTATCCGAAAAGGTTAATGTATATGCATTTTGACACCCTTCATGGCACACATCCCTATCAAACTGCCATGGACGACCCAACAACATCTTAATCATATGCATCAAATGATTTCAATAGTCATAAACTTCAAATTGCTCAAATTGAACAAAGATTGCATAACTGGACAATTCCAAAGGTAGAAAAGAATTCTATCTATGAAATAGGAAAGTTTGATTTTATATAGATATATATATGGTTGAACGCTTTACTTGCCAGCATCTCACGCACAAACAAAGATCAGGAAAGTAGATTACTATTGTCCCCTGCTGGAGACAGACACTGCGTATCTTTGGAAGGTAGTAGTACAATCTTTTTATCCGAAAAGGTTAATGTATATGCATTTTGACACCCTTCATGGCACACATCCCTATCAAACTGCCATGGACGACCCAACAACATCTGAATCATATGCATCAAATGATTTCAATAGTCATAAACTTCAAATTGCTCAAATTGAACAAAGATTGCATAACTGGACTATTCCAAAGGTAGAAAAGAATTCTATCTATGAAATAGGAAAGTTTGATTTTATATAGATATATATATGGTTGAACGCTTTACCTGATAAATTCTTATAATTTATTATGGAATATCCTTACACATGATGAAGATGTCATTAACTAAGCTGATGAATGAGTTGCAAAATGTGAACAATGGTCTTAAGGGTAAAGTGACGACACTCATGCAGCGATTGATAGCTCCTTTGGTTTGAAGCCGAAAGAGGATTTAGAGAAAAGAAAAAGAAAGCTAACAAGAAGCATGGAGCAACAAACAGTCCAAAGCAAATGGAAAGTCGAGAGGCATGTGCTCTAATTGTAGTAAAATAATAATAATAATAATAATAATAATAATAATAATAATAATAATAATAATAATAATAATAATAATAATAATAATGGGATATTGTAAGAAAGGCTGTCTAATGCATTAGTTGAAAGCATGGTGCTAGTATTTTCATATCTTGGTCTTGTTTAGTGATTGATTCAACAAACTTCTGGATTGTAATACTGAAGCCAATATTAAGATGCTTTAAGAGAGAAGAAAATCAAGTGAAGATCAGTTAAACTCACCATTGGCAAAAGAACGGTAGTTTCAATGCGAGCCATAGAAATAGTTCACTTTTATATCAGTAGTAGGCATTTAATTCTTAAAGACTGTTATTACATTTCACAGATGAAATAGAATTTGATTTATGTTTGCTATTTAATAGGATAAGGTTATTTTGTAAAATTAGCGTTTGATGAGCTTTACATTTTGATGAACAAGGCTCCATTTGTCCTGCATTTTTGATTTATTATCATTATATTTTAAATAGTTTCATAAATGAAAGAAACGTTACTTTTGCAAACCATAAACAAAATTCATACTATAATAATGATACATATCTTAAACGTGGACACCTTAACCTTAACATGATTCAATAATGGCAAGAAATTGTCCCCTTAACTCGATCAAGGTCAGATAATTGATCCTTATTTGAAGGGTAAGATGACCATGAGATCCTTTCTTACAAAAGGACTTAGAACCAAGTACTGAAATTAGTTCATTTTGATGTGTGTGGACCCGTGAGTACACTTGCTAGACGGGATTATTGAGTTATTATATCACCTTTATTGATAATTAATCTAGAATCAAATATATTTACCTAATAGCTCGAAAGTCAAATGCTTTTGAGAAATTCAAAAAAATACCATACGAATGTTGAGAAATATTTAGGTTGGAGTGTTAAGACACTTCAATTAGATCGACGTGGCAAATCTCTCTCAAGAGAATTCACTGCTAATAGGAAATGATATAGTTTATCAGCGATTCAGAGGAGAAACAAGAAACTGTTATATATGATTAGATCAATGATCAACTCTACTTATCTCATTTTTGGAATGACTCCCTTGGTATTGTGTCAAGGTCGTAAGTCTAGCTCACATCACATTCGAATTTGGCAATATCCGGTTCATTTGCTAAAAGGGAAGGCAGAATGTTGGAATTTATGTTAGAAATAAGCTTGAGTTTGAATGCTCAGACTGAAATGCTTTAGTGTGCAGTTTGTTTAGATAGGAACCGAGTTTCGCATGGTGGGAGGACAGCGCTCACGAACTGGTAGTGGGTCAACTTTCAATTACTTCACCTCGTACCAATAGGCCATTAACTATAGGTGATGGGAGATCCATCCTCTACGGCGGACTATCCATGGCTGGAAGGGACAAGTGATGTGCATGATGGCAGTCGGCTCAGTTGTGATGCAGCAATATGGCACTGAAAGAGAGCATTAACCTTAGTAGTGTGATCCATGATACAATGGTTGATTTTAACAAATGCTCTCTCCAAACGCTTCTTTTTCAAGTGGGACTTGGAAATTGGAGGAAGCAGCATGTTGATTTCAAGATTAATCGCGAAAGTCAATAATTCAATAATTTTCTTTTCAATACCTAATAATCAACATAAAATTGAGAAAAATCTTAACGCAATATTCATGTGTAATCAAAACATAATGAAGAACATGTAACAATACCTAATGCAACCTTTTCAACTCACCTAGTCAAAATAATTGAAGAGCCTTAATTAATAAAATAATAATATTAACTAAATAAAAAGTCATTCAAGCCTAAAATAAAAGGAATAAAGCCGTTCCCTTCCACGTCCACAGTCGGATTACAACACAACTTCAATGGTATCAAGTTTTTAATAAATGTTTGGCCTAGTTGCTTCAAAATTTGTACAATTGCAACAGAGTTAGTGATCAATACCGCTCCAATTAGTCGAAAACATCAGTTCTTTTTTGAGAGTTTCGCAGCTAACCTCCCGCGAACTGTTGTCAAATTTGGCTTACGTTTACGAGGTTTTCTCTTCTTGCAATTTCTCTTTGTTTGCTTACTTTCTAAGCGCTGACGACGGATTTCAGGATCAGCCCAACCTTTTCCCCATTCAGCGAAACTAGAAAATGATTTACGGCTTCTCATGGACAGCAGCATATCTGCTTCTGGGTAAACATAGAATGGTTGTTCCAATGCCGACCTCAACAATTGCAGCCCAGATTCAGTTAGCTCTGGAAATTTTATCTGAACATGATTCTGCATGGGAAATCACAAGAGAAGATAAATTAGTGCTCTATACAATGAGATCATCTCGAAAAAATCCACGACTGCAGAACTTCAGTACATATCATTCTATGTAAGCGATATAACTAAAATCACGGGATAAACCAGAAAACGCACAACACAGAATGCTGCATTTGGGACACAGATATGGAACAAATTGAATCAAATCTGAATGTCATTTACCTTTCCTTAAAACTTGTAAAAACTGACATTGTCACAGGACAGTTAGTTCCCGTGAAAGGACCATAAAGGGAAAGGCCATTGCAAGTAGAACTAGTAGCTTCCTATTCGCCCTTGAGAACGTGAACTTCTAATTCAATTCCATAACTTTATTTCAATCAAAATAGGTATTAGAATATCAGTTATCAGAAAATAATATGTTAAAAGTAATGCACTACACAACCTGAGCATATTCCGAATAATTACTTTGGACTTATTCATAATGAAGTCAGAAAAAGGCATACGAAACTCGTCTAAAGTAAGGCAGACAAGATTCGAGTCACCTCGCCTGGGTTAACTTCAAGCACAATGCAAAATTATGAGCTTCTAGTTCTCAGCAAAAATAAAATAAAATGAAACTTTCAATTTCAACTATATACTGTTTTGACTTTCGTCATTCTCACTATATCATTTCCAGAAACATTTTCTGTTGTTTTCCTCATATAAATTAATGAAGATACCCAAGCTGATTTCTGAGGCCAACCATTATGCTGGGGTTCGTGCAAGAGGAGCATGTTCATAGTACAAGAGCAAATTTAGTTGTTAAGTTTCGGGGTCAATGTGAAAATGTATATCACAATGCATTGAAAACTAGCCATTCGAACCACACGATATCCATTTTCTGAGGCTTCTCGAGATGGAAAAAATGTAACATGTATCTAACGTGAAAGACATGTGATTTAAACCAAAATTAATTGTATTAGGATATTGACTGCATATTGAGATTGTACCATTTCATCTCCCTCCATGATAAACCCTCTATATTCTAGTATACGAAGAAGACCACGCCACCATATGAAATCACTAGCAGCAAATTTGTGATCCTGCAAAACCCATTAATAGGAAACCGGGGTTAAAGCAAGAAAAATATCAACAGAAGGGAAGAGGTGAAAGGAAAAAATAACTACAATGTCATCAAAAGTATCTTATGATAAAAATAATCGCCAGGGGACATTACAACACACATTCATTCTATAAGCACAAAAAAATCTGGCATGAAGAATTTGTGACCTGCTCAGTTGCTCACAACTTAATTGGCCAATTTCAAATGAGATGGACAATTTATAAATCTTCATATTTTGAAAAGTTGTATATCATTTCAAACTTTCAAATAACTCATTTATTGAGATCCCTATCAGTTTCACCATTAGGTTCTAGTGACAACATATTCAAACTTTCACCAAACAAAGTTGAACACTAGTGCAGCAATGGAAGTTGAATCTTATAAAACCAAGAAAAATTATAAAAGCTTAAGAATATTATCAGAATAACTTGAATATAATGAATATAAGGTGATAACAAAACAAATCTAGCCCTCTCTTATATAGGCGTTGTAAGAAGAGGTAATATCCTAATTTTATTAAACAAAGAAAAAGAAATTAATCTCCTAAAAAGAAAAGAAACTCTAAAAAGAATAAGAAAACTAATAACCTACTCCTAATAGAAGTAGAAATCTTTTAAATTAAATTAAAAAATGAATAGAATCCTATAAATACTAGGAACAGTAATGACTAATAAAAATTAAATCCTAAAACTAATAGTAATAATTGAATTCTAATATAATTGTCTGTAGAAATCCCGGATCAATTATGGGATTTATTGTATCTTATATTTTTGGTATAATTATCAATTAAGTTAGGAAATATCTTTCTTCCTTAGATAGAATATTATTTTCCCTTTTTACTACCAAATATTGTGTATATATTTAGGCTGGTTGTATTGAAAACATATTGAGAAATAAAGAATTAAATCTTTCTCTCATCTTGTTCACATTGTCTATGTTGATCTCCCCCACTTGAAAAATACTCATCCTCGCGTTTGGTTGATGAAGAGAAAATTAATTAGGAAAAAAATGCTCTAAAATTTCTAACATGAGTAATATTGAAGAAATGTCCATCTCCTAATGTACTCAATAAATGTCATTATATTCCTTAGTTGCATTGATTGAAGTCAAATTTAATCCTAAATTACTCATCTTCTTTTCTTAATGACATTTCTTAGGTAAACGATGCAAGGTTCAATTTCTCATCTTTAAGTCCACTCTCGATTTGCATTACCTTTAACTCTTTCGTGATTGCCAAGTTCAATTCCCTTTTCTTTAGCTTGACGCTTCTGAACATAACTTGTTTATTATCAAAGTACGGCTCAAGCTCGAGGTCTTCAATTGCTACTTTACTAGAATGTTTTTCATACTAATGCTTGTATTCACTGTCAATTATCTATTGAGGACCAATAAGTCTCGAAATTTCAACTTTCTCATGCTTTTCTACCTCTATTACGTTATCATGGTCGATAACTTATTGACCATCTTGAATGACATTTTTTTCAACCTTATAAATCTTGTATTCTTTGTTTACATTCTTATTTGCAAATTGCTTCTTAAGTGGCAATTTGTTATCTCTGAGTATGTAAGTGACATCTACATCGTAGTACCATGGTTGTCCCCAAAGTACATGACAATCATGCATCTCTACCACGTTACCCACAATCCCATCTCTGTAATACTTCCAATAGGAAGTGAAGATTCGCATACCTTCATATTCTAAATTTCTAGCTTCTTTTTAACTAATGGAACTGATAATAGAATGAGTCCTCAATTCCAAAGCTTTGGCTAATGCTTTAGATAGCATATTCTCACCATCCCAGTGGTCTATAATCACGTTGCATACTTTGTTATTGATAGTACATTGTTCCTAAAAATCTTGTCGTGCTACGCATTGGGCTACTTCATATCTCCTCCGGAGACATGCACAAAATCCTTAAGAATTTGTTCTTACTCCTCGCAAAATTGATGATCATTAATGTCTTGTCTTTTAAGAGGAATTTCGTTATGTCAAAGTGAGTTGCATTGGAACATGCTATTTGTGATGTCTTGACCGATAAAAATCACCCCATTGTAGTAATCCATCATGTTGTGAATATTCAAACTTAGGTTGGACTTGAGGAAAATCTCTAGCCATCTACTGCTATGTCCTGGGATCATTGAAGCGGCCAATATTTATAGAGATCAAAGTCAGCATTTTCGTCAATAAAATCTTTGAACTTATCCATCCTTTTTTCCAAATTTTGGACTGAGGCTTGTAATTTTGCAATCCTCCAAACATTATATCGATGATGAATACCATTGATACCATAGGTTGCCATCAGTTAAAGACAAACCTTGCTTTAATACCAATTTAATGCATCAGCAAAACTCAAATCTTGTAAAAACAAGAAAAAAAGGTAAATTCTTAAGAATATTACATAAATAACTTGAATTTTAATTTATTTGATTTGTGATAACAAAACAAGTCTAGCCCTCTTCTTATACAGGCATTAGACAAAAAGGTAATATCCTAATTCTAGGAGACTTAAGTATAAGAAATCTATCTTCTAAAAAGAAAAGAAACTCTTAAAAGAATAAGAGAACTAAAATATACTCTGAATAGAAGTAGAAATCCTATCAACTAAATAACAAAACTACTAGAACCCTATAAATAGAAGGAATCCCGATTACCAATATAGTTTAATCCCAAAACTAGTAGTAATAATTGATTTCTAGTAGAATTGCCCTACATCAAACGCCATTTAAACTTTGTTATTGTTCACCCTTCCAAATATTTGGTTGAATTATTACAAGTGTTTAAAAAAAAAAAAAAAAAAAAAAAAAAAAAAAGAACCC